TGGCACCCCGGTGCCCCATGCTGCCCACTCGCCCTGGTAGCTGAGCCCTGGGGGGTGGCGCCGGGCACTGCATGGCCTGGAAGCCCCCGCAGAGGGTGCGAGAAGCCACGTTCCCCACCCTGTGGGCCACCTGCACGTCCCTATGGGTTGGGCATTGGCACAGATGGCAGCGCCTCATGCTACCGATGCTTCTGCCGATGCCGTGAATAACTGAAGCTCTGTCTTCAGTTACTGGAGACTGAATGTGCTCTGCAAACCCCTCAGCACAGCCTGGCGCCTCCCGCTCATGGAAACTGAGGGTGGACGCCTCTGGGGAGGGTGTGAGCTGACGGATGAGAGCAGAGGCCGAGATCAGGTGTCCAGGAACTCGACCGGCCGCTCCTCACAGGGGACTGGGCCAGGGGGCGTCCAGGCTGCGCGGGCGGGGCACAGCCACCGAGCCTCCCACCTGCCTCCTGCCAGGGTCTCCCGGCCCCCACCAGCTGTGACGCCCCAGAATGTGCCCAGAGGGTGGCTGATGTCTCCTGGCGGGGTGCAGCAGTGGAGACAGGCGAGGGGGCAGCAGGTTGTAACACAAGGCGCTCAGCGCCAGAGACGGCGGAGACCCCGCGGCTCGCGGGGGTCTGGGGAGGCCGCTTCGGCTGGGCCTTGAAGGAGCGCCGCCTCCGAGCGCCACCCCCAGGGGCAGCCAGGTTGGAAACGTGTTCTTCAAGCCCCGCAGCGCTGAGGAGGCCCGGTCACCAGGCTGGCACGGGTGCTGCCCGAGTGACCCAGGCAGCAGCCCCGGGCCAGGGTCGGCAGCCGTGCTGACCTTGGTGTCCCTGCCCAGCGCGCTCACCAAACGGCTCTGCACTCCAGAGAGAACCTGGACGGCCAGCAGCCGCTCTCCGTGCCGGGCTTTGCCCCTGCCCCCAGACGTGCGGCATTCTCAGAACAGCGCCTGCGGGAGGGGACGCCGCCCCGCAGGCCCCGCCCCGCCGCGGCCTCGCAGCCCCCAGACACCCCTGTCCCCGGCGGTCTCTGCACCGCCGCCTCCTGGTCCTTCCTGGTCCTTGGGTTTCACGCTTCAGCCCAGCCGACCCCGGGGAAGATGCCTGACCCGAGAGGGGCCCGGGGCCTCCTCCTCCGTCCACACCTGCGCCGCGGCCCTGCAGGGGACCCGCCCGCCACGATGACGGCGGGACGCAGATGCCCCAGGACTCCAGGAGCGGCGCAGAAGGCAGGCCCCCAGCTGAGACGGCGGCTGCCCAGGCCGCCCGGAGCCCCAGGCGGGCGGCAAGGCCTTCCGGGCCTGTGTGCCGCGCAGTTCGCACGGCGCTTGTCCTTCTCGCTGCTCAGCTGAGCGTCAGACCTCAGCAAGTCCTGCGCGTCCACCTCTGCGCCACACGGCACGCAGTGCGGGGCTCAGGCAGCCGTGGGTGGGGGTCGGGCAGTTCTTTTTGTGTTTTTTTTCAAATTAAAGAATCAACGGACTCTGTACCGCGTGCATGTGCAGCTCTGAACAAAAGCAGCAGCTAAAATCACCACGGACAACGGAGGGAGGGGACGTGAGGTCGGGTGGGAAGGTGGGGTCCCTGAAGAGCCAGCCCTGAGCGCTGGGCCCTGGGACTCGCAGGCAGGGAGGGCCCGCGGCCGGGGAAACACGCCCAGCAGAGGGAGGGGCTGAGAAAAGACTTAAACCCGAAAACCAGCAGCAGGCCGAGCAGGAAAGGCCAAATACACCAGGGCGGGGCTTCCCCGGGGGCCAGGGACTGACACCCCGCGCTTCCGCTGCAGCGGGTTCCATCCCGGGATGGGGAACCAAGACCCCACGAGTTCAGGGCTGCCTGCCGTGGGCTGGGCGGCCACAAAGGGCATCGCGTCCCGAAGGTGGTGCAGTGGCGGCGGGGGCAGGGCCAGCGCGCGCAGCGGGGCGCGTCCACAGGGCGGGGAGGCCAGATCATGTCCCCTGGTCCGTCCCGTCAGTCCTCCGTGCTTCCACACCGGGCTGAGGCCCTTCCCTCGGGAACCCTCCGTTTCTGTGTGTGTGTGTGTACAAGCTTGCGCATACACGTCTGGGCCTAGGTGTGCTGTGTGCAGCCCCAGCGCCCCCTGCCCGCCACATGGGGAGAGGGCTCCGCGGGTGTGGGGTCCCAGGGAAAGGAGGGCCGAGGGGTGGAGAGGCGGCTCGGTCGGTGCCGCAGCAACAGTGCACACCCTGGGTGCCCGGGATCATCCCCAAAGCGCGGCACGTGTGGGGCTCCTACCCCGGCACTCAGCAGCCCCAGCTCTGGGCCAGCCCTGCCCACACTGTGGGCTTCGCTCTCCCAGGGGACACAGGTGCAACATAGACACGTGTGTGCACGCGTGCTAGGTCGCTCAGCCACGCCCGACTCTAACCCCATGGACTGTGGCCCGTCATCTCCTCCTCCAGGGGATCTTCCCAACCCACGGATCGAACACATCTCTCGTCTCCTGCAGTGGGAGGTGGGTTCGTTACCTCTGGTGCCACCTGGGAAGCCCATGGGACGACCCCCAAACCCTGGTCACTGGGCCTCGGTGAGCTTCCTCCAGCGGCATGCCCAAGCTGCACAGCCTCTGGCAGGGACCCCGAAGGCTGGCCCTGTCCTGCCGCACACCCCCCGCCGTGCCCGGGGCCCTAACCTGCACAGTCCCCTCCATGGCCCAACCTCCTGAGGGATCGGGGGCGGGGCTTCAGGCCTGGGGGGCCCCGGGTAGTGGGCAGGCATGGGGGAGGGGGAGGGGGCGGGAAGGGGAAGGGGAGGTGGGGCCTCAGACACTCATGTCAGGACAGGCTGGCCTCTTCTCCAGGTGCCACGTCACAAGTGTCTTTTCATCTGACCCATGAAAGGTAATAAAGCATCAATGTCTCGGCACACTCATTTCACAGGCGCTGGCCCCCGTGTTCCTCACTTCTCCTGCCTGCCTGCATGGGCGCAGCGCCCAGGGCTGGGGCCCAGCCACCCGCCATCCCGAGGGTGCTGCCAGCAGCCACACGTGCTCCCAGAGGTGGGGTCACCCGGAGAAACAGGTGTTGAAGCCTGACTTTTCTGCTCATGGCCTCAGAGGAAAAGGGAACAGTGTTGCCTAAGGGTGACAATGTTACAATCAAGGTGCAAACGTCAAAAGGTGACATCTGCTACCTGAGACATCAAACTGCTTAAGTTAAAACAAGGTTCTATAATTATGCTCATAAACGTTGACATCACAAGCTTATTTACAGCCCTCATCAAAGCTGGGTAACCCTCCTGTGAAGCCAAAGCCCAGGGTCCCCCACTCTCCAACGGAGACCCTTCCTGAGTCGCAGAGGCCTAAAGGGAAGCAGCAGTCACTGGAGGAGCCGTCTTGCTCACAGATGCACAAGATAAACCGAAGAAGCCCAGATGCTCACAGACATAGTTCACACCGTGGCAGCTCAATGCTGAGATGCTTCGTGTGGTCCCTGGGAAGGAAGGAGCTGGACAGGGCTGCTCCCTGTCGGGTAGACACCGCCTCTGAAATGCTCTCTGCAAGACAGGCTGAGCAAACTCAATCTTCACCTTTCACCCTTTTTTCTTGGTAAAAGCACAAATCCTTGTTGAATTTCTTTTGGTTACCAAAAACAGGTGCTGAAGTGGGTCTGTCTTAGTGGGGGGAGACCAGTATTTAATTGTCCCCATTTCACAGATAGGTAAGCTGAGGTACAAAGTACTCAGGCCTAAGAACTCGCCGAGTTTTCTGGAAGCAGAGGCCTCTAGTGGTCCACGGCTCTCCAGGGCACCAGGGGCTCCCAGCAGGCCCCGCCTCCATCCTCTCAGCCCTCTCCCGACTGCCCACCTGCGCCTGCTGGTCATCAGCCTTGGCTGTTCACTCTGGCCACCACCGCGACGCTGGGAAAGAAACTTCGGAAGCCCAGAGCGGGCTCAGCAACTCACCCTGTTCGGGGCGTGGACGTTAACTCCTCCCAGGACAAACTCCGGGGGCGGCTGCTGCTCTCTGGGGCAGAGAGGCTGTGCGATCTGAGGCACCCTTCACTTTGCTCCTGAAAGCCTTTCAGACCTGGAGCAGAGGAACTCGGGACAGGTGACTAAGACACCAGCGGAAGACCAGCGTGGCTTTGGTTCCAGGCCTTCAGCTTCTAGTTTTCTGCGTCACAGTGCTCCTCCAGCGGTTCTCCCTGGCATGAGCACCAAGACAGGAGCACGAAGCACGACGCCGGGACGGACCAGGAAATGGCAGGCCGGATGACGGAGAAGGGTGAGCCTTACTTGAGTGCTTTTCGGTAATCTAACACCAGGCCCTCGGGGACCCGGAGAGCTGGCTCTCCCCAAGGCCTTTGCTGGGGGTGCTGCTTCCGGTCAGTCTTCTCGAAGCCTCGCCTGGGGCCTTTCTCAGATGCCAGTCTTGTATACCAGATTCTGAACCAGAGCCTGTTACTGCCCTGTCTCAACGGTTGACATTTAAACAACGTGATAAACTGATGTTTAGAAGCTGTGGCTTTACTAGGGCAGAACAGAACCAATCACAATGATCTGGGGTATGACTCCAACACAAACTTGGGAAAAAAATTTAATGCAAATATTTAGCCATTGGAACATACAAATAAATAAATAAGCTCAGAATAGCCGAGGAAGAAAATCCAAGTTAAGAGTAACTGCCCATTTCTCTTCAGTCCCAGATATTCCATTTCCAAAACACCGCTAATATACAAATCAATTAATAAGTAAAGAAGATATAGACCATCCAACATAAAACGACCTAAAATAAAAAAATAAAACCAAGGACAAACCCTAATTATTTTATTTCTGTATATCAAGACTACAAATAGCATTTAAACACTTAATTTATTCTTCAAATTAAGAAATTATACATTTTGTTTTGATAATGGTCATTGTCTCAGAAGTGTCACTTGGCTCCCCCACATTTAAAAGGATATTGCTAGTTGTGGCCCGTCCCCCACGCCAGCCCAGCGCTCCAGTGACAGCGAACACCGGCCAGCACCTGCGTCCTCCGGCGAGTCCTCAGACGCTCCCCTCGCCAGGTCCTGATAAAGTGCCGAATCCCGAGAGGACCGCCCCGCCCCGCCCCGCCCCGCCCCGGGCGCCCGCCCCGCCCCGGGCGCCCGCCCCCTGCACCGCAGCACCCGGAAGCGAGGGGGCGCGGCCCGGGCCGCAGTGCAAAGGCGCAGCGCCACTTTGGTTCAAGTGACTCGGGAGGGGCTGCGGGCCTCCTCCCCCAGCATCGCTCACGCGGGTCGCACACGCGCAGGAGCGGGACAGAGGCCCCCTCCCCACCCCGAAAGCTCTCCAGGCACGAGGTGGAGACAGAAAGGAAGAGAGTGAAGGACCCGCCTCACACACACCCACACACAGGAATGTCCAAACCATCACGATGCAGGTCAGCGGCAGACCGGAAACAAGCATGCTAGTCCCGTTCTGGGGAGATGGCTTAAAAAACACAAATAAAATATTACCATTGTTATCTATTTTCCAACCTAACCACTTTGGGAGAAGGCAGCAGGAAAAAAAAAAAAGCCTTTAGTTTTAACAATGAGGCTTGTAAACAATTCAACCACACGAGAAGCAGTGGCCCCCAGAGGCCCGTGTCTCTGCAGACCGGAGCCAGGTCCGAGCAGCGCCCCCGCCAGGCGCCGGGTCGCCAGCTTGGGGGGCTCATCCGCAGCAGAGCCAAAGCTTCATCTTTGGTTAATTTCACTGAGTTGCCACCAGTCTTAAAACTGTGCTCTTCTTGGCAAAATTGCTATGTTAGCCATGTGGCATGTAACATCTGTTATTTTAAGTTATTTGAAAAGCAACGTCCATCTAAATACGTGAGCACAACTTAATAAATCACTTAAAAATGCAGGAAGGGGTGGCGGGGAGGGACCCGGGAGAGCTGGGAGGCCGGCGTGCGTGCCCTGCTAGCCGGGGGTGCACACAGGCCCGCCGTCTCCGCAGAGGGTGGGCCTCCGCCACGGGTCAGCTCAGCTCGAAGCCCGCGGCGCACTCGATGGCGTACAGGAGCTTGCTCCGCAGCAGCGCCTCGTCCTGGAACTCGGGGAGCTTCAGCAGGTTCATGCAGGTGCTGGCTGTGGGCAGCCGCTCCAGGTCGGAGCCCCCGTTGTGGATGCAGAACGCGGGGTACAGCTCCTGCAAGACAGCGGGCGCATGGCGCGGTCACCAAGCACGGCCTGCAGGGAGCCTTTCAGACTCACGCAGGAAGTGACGGCTGTTCTCACCTGTCCCCAGGGGGACACCCGCTTTTTCACTGCCCTCAAACTTGGCTCCAGTTTCTACCCAATAGTGTGAATGGGCTAAGGGACAGAGAACAGCGTGAATGCATGGGAGTGAATACAGAGTCTTTTTGGTGAAAAGGCCTCTAAAGTTTTTATTTTTTAGTCTTTTAAAAATTAGTTTAAAATTTTAAAAGGTACAGAGTAAAGAGCTGAATGTATAAATAAACCTCTTTGCTGAAAACATGGGAAAAGCAGACGGGCCTCTTCTCCAAGTGAACCACAAAGGGGCCCGGGAGCAGGGGGAGGCGGTGGTCTCAGTCAAGGAGAGAAGGTGGCCCCTCTAAACACGGGAGGTTGGGTGCTGGTGGCGCACTCACAGAGGGCGGTGTTGCCCGTGTCCTAGAACCATAGGGACTTTCCTGGCGGGCAGTGGTTAAGGCACGAGCTCCCAATGGAGGGGATGGGGGTTCAAACTCTGGTTGGGGAACCAAGATCCCACATGCCATGTGGCGTGGCCAAAAAAAAGGGGGGGGGGGCTGGAATCTTAAATGGTTTTCAGAAATGTCACCGTAAATTACTGGTACTGTTGTTCTAAAATCACTGTAGTGTTACATACAACTATTATGTGAAAATTATATGTAACTTATTGTAGGATCCTAGAATTTACCAGAGCAAGCAAATGAACTATTAATAATAGGAGCCAAGATTAATCACTGGTAGAGAGATCCAAATATACAATCAAAGAAATAAAAACCTCACACACCTGAATGTCAGTTGGAAAAAGCAGTGTGAACTTTGATGAATTTTTCTCTCAAGAAGACAGCGCCCATGTCCCAGCTCTGTGCCCTGGAAAGACCTGAACACAATGACCTCTGGTGACAATCAGCAGGCCAAGGGTCCAGCCCTGCTCTCTACCAACTTGGTCTCCAGGAAAGGAACCAGGGCTTCCTGGAAAACATGTGATCCCGACATGGGCCAGGAGATGCACACAGCAAGTGTCACTATCCCATCACATCAGAAAGCAAGAAGCCACCCACAGCTGCTTGGGACTTATTTACAGACCCTGAGCCCACTGCCCTCCCGCAGATGGGACATGGAAGATCAAAGGGAGGGGGTGCCATGGACTGAAAAAAGCAAACGCTAAAGGTTCAGAATGATAGTAAAACTAAAATGTACTGGCTGTCCTTAAAATGCTAGTTATCCCCCTCAATAACTGGTAAATGAGGAATAGTCAAGATTTACTCCATCTTTTCTGTACCAGCAGTCCTCATGGTAACCTAAGAGCTGGTGAGAAAAAATAGCTTTTCTTTATAGAAAAATCAGCTAGAAAGGAAGAAACGATACATGGGAACATGGCGTTCTCAGGCCAGTGAAGAATGGTCTGGGCGCAGGGACGGCCCGGCTCCTCGCTGCCAGGACGCCTTCAGCAGCACAGGCAGAGCAGTTACAGGCGTTGTTTTCTCTCATAACAACCACAGCTCTCAACCTTCTATAATGAAAACATTAACCCTGTCACAAGGAAAAACAGGACTAGCGTAAGAAATAATTACTGACCACTGTCGAGGAAAACAGAACGAGGCTGGAGGGCCACTCCCGCCCGGCAGGGACTCAGAGCACCCGTCAGCCCACGGCTGCCTGACCAACGCAATCACGTTTCACCCGGACTCTGTCACCTACATGTTGAATTTAGCACACACTTTACAACGTGGGCGTGAGCGTGAGCACAGCCCACACACTACCTGCTCCATTTCTGTGCGCTTCTCCACTGCTGAGCATAAGCCTCGTCTCAGCAGTCTCTGTGGCAGGCAACACTGCTAAAACCGCTGTCTTTCCCCTAATTATAATTTATGTGCCACTTTAAATGCCGCTTAAGATGTTTCAATAGAAACCAAAAGAGGAACAGAAAGAATATTTGTTGCATTTATTACTTAGCACTTTGAAGATGTTGAGGGAAACAACTTTCTCAGATGCTTGAATATATTAAAAACACATTTTTGAAACAGAAGGATCGCTGCACACGCAGTCAGTCAGGGCTCAATGGAAAGTCTGAAATACATTTTGCAGATATATGCCACACTTTACTGTTTCTTTCATAATGCTAATTGAATTTCCTACTTGGGAGTCTCAAAACTTAAAAAAATGAAGTTCTTCATTGAAATCTGAGTCAAGGACACCATTCTGTGCATAACTAAGCAGAGTACAACGGGAATTTGCATTAATTCAGAGTGAGAAAAATCATCAATTTATTATGAGGCCTGATGGCAATTTAACAATTTTCTACAGCACTTTAATGATTTCTGCGTCTGTAACAGTCACATTCGTTAAGCATATTAAGCTTTAATTAGCTTCAGCAGATGCTGCTCTTCTCAGCAAACTGGCCATGAGCAGAGGCCTAACTTCCAGATTACGTGCGACCACCCTGGCTGCTGAGGGTGCTTCAGCCAAGAGCCACTCTCTGCTTTCAAGTCTGAGTCTGCCACCCCGCCAGCAGGCACCCTGAGCGAACTGGGGAGCACATACATCACAGTGGTTTCCCCAAATCTGGAGTCTAAGAATGACGTCAAAAGCACCGGAAAATGCTTAATTAACCTCACATTTAGTATGATTTCAATCACTGAAAAAAAACCCTGAAACAGGATGACTATTTCATGGTTTCCAAAAAATTATTTTTCATGGTATAATTATAACTCAATTATGATTATACGGGATCATCAGCAGGCGACCAGAGAATTTTAACTGCAATTCTACTAGGGACTTGAAACAAGTCCCTCAGCTTTCCCACCCAAACCTGTGACACACAACTGGCTCCTCCACTGGCCAGAGCATCTGGACTGCTCAAGCCAGATTCCTCACTTCTACTAAAGCGAATGCCTTCCACTCAGCTCTCTGATGGAGCAGGTCCTCCAAACTTCCCTTCTTGAAACCACACACTCAGTTTTTTTCCAGGTTTAGTGTGGTTTTGAAACTGGAAGACACTATAAGCTTTGTCTCTCATTATAAATGTTACTGACAAAATTTCCTAATCACACTAAAATCTTAATATATAAGGATTTAAATCATGTGACTGTTTATACCACTAGACAATAAAAACTTCTGATCGATGGGAAAGCCTTTTATATTAACTCCGTTTGCATGAGCCACTGGGCACATCCTGCTCTTTAAACCCTCCTACACAGCAAGGTTTCCAGACCTCACTGCAGGCCTCAGAGGCGCCAAAAGCAGAGATGTGCTCCTTCCAGGTTGCTGCCCAAGTCTGACATCTGCTTCTGCAGATCAGCGCTTAAACCCATCAAGTCGATCCGTCCATTTCTTTTGAGAAGAGGGGGGCTTATATCCCAAGCCAGAAGCATCACTAAGTCTCCCTGCCATTCTACTTGAGACTTCAAACGCTAACACAGGTCCCTCAGCTTTCCCACCCCCCAGGCCTGTGACACCTGTCTGGTGTCTGGCTTGTACACAGCAGTTTTTCTCCAACTCAGTCCCAGGGTTTTCCTTCTAATACCTGCATTTCCTCTTTGCCCGTTCACTGCTCTGACACTTCAGCCTGCTCTCATTTCTATGTTTTCTGCTTTATGAGTGTCCACATTAACTTTGTGTTCTATTATTTGGTAAACACAGTTGGTTCTGGCTGTCCTGTTTTGCAGGCTTTATTTTCTCCCTCTGAAAATTTGGAAGACAGAGAAGAGACTTCAGTTCTGCTAGTATCATTGAGCAATATTATTCACTAATTGCTCACACTCACGTCTTTATTATTCACTGCTCCCCCACCTCCTGTGGAAACAGCATCACTGCACTTACACCACAGCTCGCGCCCCATGTCTTTACTGCACTGTCCACTCCTTTATTTTATTTGGCTTAGTCGGGTCTTAAGTCTTAGCAGCACACGGGAGCCTTTGTTGCGGCACACGGGCTTAGCTGCCTTCCGGCATGTGGGGTCTTAGTTCCCCAACCAGGGATCGAACCCTTGGCCCCTGCATTGCAATGCGGATTCTCAACCACTGGACGACCAGGGACATTCCCACTGCTCTATTTCTGGGACACTTTTTGGGACACTGCATTAAGCTATTAATGTCAATTAAAAAAAAACATTTTAAAGTGTAATTCACATGCTATAATATTTACTCATTTAAATGTAGTTTAAATTCAACTTCAGAATGCTGCCATTTCTCTGCCAAAGTTCTCCATTATCCACTCCCCCCTTTTTTTTATCCACCCCTTTAAAGACATTTTGTGTAAAAGGAACCACACAACCTCCAGTGTCTCACTCCCTTCACTGAGCACAACGTTCTCAATGTTCACACACAGGGCATCTGTATCAGCAATCCATTCCGTTTACTTTCCTAACACACCCCCACTGCCTGGACAGACCACATTCCCTTTCTCCATGGCCAGCTGTGGGCTGCTGCAGTCCTGTGAGCACTGCGTCAATGTGTCCGGGCGTCTGCCTGGAGTACCCGTATCCTGAGGCTGGAACTGCTCCAGCGCACTGAGGTGCATTCTCAGAAAATGTGACTGGACCGCTGAAGATGGCACAGACTGGAGGGAACCGGCCGCTAATGTGCGGCCTCAGGCTGGACTCCAGACCGGGAAGCGCAAGGTCCACAGAGGATGCCGTGGGGCTGGAGCTACTGCAGGCGCCCCGACACCTGAGGGAAGGTGGAAACAGGTGGCTGGCCCCCTTCCTGAGCTGATTCGGGGGGGTCTGGGTGAGCCCTGACAATGTTTACCTGTAACGACTTCTCAGGTGATGCTGAAGCTGCTGGTCTCAGGATCATACTTGTGAACCAGAGGATTAGATAATCTCAATCTATCATTGCACATTCCTTATTTTTGATAATTTAATTGTGGTTTTTAAGAGAGACTGGTGTTGCAAGAAAAATGTGCAAGTAACATGATATTTTCAACTTACTCCCAAATGATTCCAAAAAGAAATACATGAATACAGAATGACAAAACAAATGTGACACGATTTAAACTGGTCAACCTGGGCTGATAAGTTCTCTGTTCAATTCTTACAACTTTTCTACACATTGTAAGTAATTTCAAAGTAAAATAACTGACATATAACTCATCAATGAAAGGTTACTGGAAGGCGAATGTCAATCTGTGAGCTTCACAAGCACACCCAATGTACATGCTCCCCTAACCCGGCATCACTTCATGTTATATACAACCACTGTCTTTCTCTTTATTAAACCTAACTTCACTTCTTTTATATGAGTAAGGAAAACCCAAACTGTCCCATGACCAATTTCAACTGATAAAAATATTCAGCCAACTTATGAGATCAACAGGGACTACCAGAAAGGACACCCTAAGGCCAAGTAACGTGAAGTGACAGAGAAGCACTAAGAGAAGATCAGCCCCTGCTCTTGTATCACTCCTGGGGGCAGACACGAGCACGTGGGGCCCACGCTCTCTCCAGCTGGGAAGGGAGGCCAGTCGGAGCCGCACAGACCCTAGGACTGGTGATGGACGCCAGCGTCAGCCCACCCGGCTGCACCTGCTCACGTTCAAGCCTCGTCACAGCGATACCCCAGCGATGCGTCAGGACTGTGAACGCAGGAAAAAACCCAGACAAAACCAACAGCCAATCCTTCAGTGCACAAGTCGAAACACTGGGTGAATGAGGCTACAGACACAGTAAAAAATAACAGCCTGGGCGCTGCGGCTACCGCAGTGAACGCTGCTCCCTGAACACGCGTGCGCACACTGGCTCACCTGGTCCCTGCTGCCCTGCCCCAACACTACTGAGCCCCGAGCCTGCGCACCTTAAACCCCAAGAGGGGGGGCCGGGAACAGCTGGTCACAAATTTGAGCAGTTTGCGCTTCTCCTCGTCTGTGAAGCCCTCCACGACTCTCCAGAAGACCTTGATCACGGGGTGCTCCGCAGAGTAGCCTCCTAGGACAAAGAGGAAGACATCTTCAGGAATAACAAGGTGAGTGCAGAATCGGGGTTCTCCCAAAGGCACCAGAGCAGCTCCTCTCCATCGTGCCGGGCCAGGGTGGGGCAGCGGCTTGTGGCTTAAAGCCGACCCTGTCCTGGGGGACGATGGGCAAGGATGCAGGGGACAGAAGGATAAAGCACGAGAGGCCACAGTGAGGAACAAACAAGATGGACTCTGGCAGAGAAACATGCTGCCAAGGATCTGAGCTTCCAGAGCTCTGCGAGGAGCTGAGACTCGGCTTTGGCTGGGGAGCAAACTCTACATAACACAGGACTAGCATGACGGTCACGCACCTACAAACAGCAGACACACTGGGATTTTTAACAGAGCAAGTTATTTCACCAACACATCTTAGTATGTAAATTTATCACCCATCCTTCTGACAAGGTACAGACCATGGATAATAACCAACCCCAGCACTCGATTAGACCAATGCTCTGAAGAGTAATATCTGCTACTTACAACTTTTAATCTAGTTAAGTGCTTCCTAAAACTAAAATAATTGCTATATATTGTTCCCTCACTGTTAATATACTACAGAAATATCATCAATAAAGTATCTTAAGTGTATTAATTGGCACCAAAATGAATATGGTAATATTTTAAACCTATTTACTGGAATAGGAACAGTTGAGATCGTTAAAGGTAAATGCTATCAGTGCAGACAGGATAATGCAAACAGGCCAAGATCACTTCTGGGCCAGGAAAGGCTGGACTGATGGGGAGGACAATGTGACCTTAGGCATTATCTCCCTGGACACAAACATCAGAGCTCAATTTAGAGAAATACAAAAGAGTAATTAGCGAAAGGGGAGATGCAAGCACATAGTTACATACACATCCATTTCCAAAACCTTCTCAAAAGTGACCCTGAAGGAAAGGTGGGTGATAGCACTCAACACAAGAGGGCTCTGGGTAGATGAGTCTGGATGGACTTTTTTAGCTGTGGTAAAAGACATGCGATAAAATCTACCATCTCAGCCACTTTCAGGTGTGCAGTCCCAGGGCACGGATTACACGCACACTGGCGTGCAGCCACTGCCGCCCTCTCAGCCCAGCACTCCCATCACCGCAGGCAGACGCCGCCACGACCAGGAGGCAGGGCTGCCCGCGCCCTTCCCAGCCCTGGTGGCTCTAGTCCCGTCTAGGAACCTGCCTCTTCTAGGTGTTTCATGTAAGGTGAATCCTACAACGTACATCCTCTGTGTCTGTCATTACTTCACTTATCACAGTGCTTTCAAGAGTTCATCCACATTGAAGCGTGTACTTGAACATCATTCCTTCAAGACTTAATGACAGTCCCACCGTACATCTATAGCACACTTCCTTATCCATCATCTCGGTGGATACTGGGGTTATTTCCAGCTTCTGGCTCCTGTGAACAACGTCTCGTGAACACAGATGCTTCGGCCCCTGCCTCCAATCCCCTTGGGTACAGAGCAGAGTTGTTGGTTCACAGATTAAGTCCACGCTGAGCTTTCTGGGAACCACCGTTTCCCACAGTCGCTACTTCACATTTCCACCAGCAACGAATGAGGGCTGCGGTCTCAACACACCCTCACTAACACTTGTCTTCTGTCTGTGTGCCTCTCCCTTAGGCTCTGGTTTCCATTTCCCGAGTGGTTAGTGATGCTGAACATCTTCTGGAGCACACCGGCCTTCGGTAGCATCTTCTCTGGCAAAGGTCTACTCAAGTCCTTTGCCTGTTGTTGAACCAGCCTGTCTGCCTGTTGAGCTGTAAGGGTTCCTTATGCATTTTGGGTACCAGACCCTCACCAGATACATGATTTCCAAGTGTTTTCTCCAATTCTGAAGGCTGTCTTTTCACTTTCTTCATAATGTTCTTTGATGCAAAAACCTAATTTTGATGAAGTTCTATTTATTTACCTTTCCTTTTTCTGGTTGTGCTTTTGGTGTCATATCTAAGAACTTACTGCCAAACCCAAGGTCATGAGGTGTTATCCCTGCGTTCTCCTAAGACTTTTACGGGTTTAGGTACTAAGGTTCTTGAGCCATTGTGAGTTAATTTTTGTATATGGTGTGACTTGTGGGTACAGCTTCATTCTTATGCAAAAATCCAGTTGTTCTACAATTAACTTTTTATATAACTGTAAACTTTCCCAAAGAAGTTCTAAATTTTACATTGCTACCAGTCAAGAGAGCTCAAATTTCTTCACATATTAACACTAAGTGTTAAGTCATTCTAGTGGGTATGTAGTAGTATCACAGTACAATTTAATTTGCATTTCTTTAATGATTAATAGTGTTCATGTGCTTATTTGCCTACCAGATATTTGTATATATCTTAAGTGAAACACTTTTTTGGTTTTTTTTGCCCATATTTTAAAAATCAATGATCTTTTTATTGAGTTGCAGAAGTTCTTGATCTATAATGTGTACACAGGGACAGAAGCCATTATTAGATACATTACTGGAAAATATTTTCTCTTAACCTGTGGCTTGTTTTTTCACTTTTTTGATGGTATTTTTTTGAAGCACAAAATCTTTAATTTTGAGGATGTCCAAATTTTTATCCATTTCTTTTTTCTAGACCATGCTTTTGGTGTACAACTAAAAACTCTGCCTAGTCCAAAAGTCATGAGAACTTTCTCCTATGTTCTCCCAGAAGTTTTACAGCTCTGGCTTTTAACTACAGGCCTCGGATCCTGTTGCACTCACTTCTGCACACTGTGTGAGGTCAGGTCTAAGTGCCTCTCTTCCCAGTGCTCACCATTCCAGCCCCACCGAGCTGCTGCAAGTCACTGGCTGTAACCCTAAGGGTTTGTCGCTGTCACCCCGTGACTTTCCATCGGCCAGTATGCCTATCATTGTGACAATGCCATGGTATCTTTTTTAAAATACTCTTACGTATTTTTGTCTATGCTGGGTCTTTGCTGCTGCACTCAGGCTTTCTCCAGCTGCAGAGTGGGGGTCACTCTCCAGCTGCAGTGCATGTTTCTCACTGCAGTGGCTCTCCAGTTGCAGAGCATGGGCTCCAGGGTGTGTAGGCTTTAGCACTTGTGCTGCACAGGCTTCGTCGCTGCACGGCATGTCAAACCTTCCTGGACCAGGGACGGAACTGGATGCCTGCTGTACCGGCAGGCGGACTGTTTACTACTGAGCCACCAGGGAAGCCCCCATCAGCTCAGTTCAGTCACTCAGTCGTGTCCGACTCTTTGTGACCCCACGGACTGCAGCACGCCAGGCCTCCCTGTCCATCACCAACTCCCAGAGCTTGCTCAAAGTCATGTCCATCGAGTCGCTGATGCCATCCAACTGTCTCACCCTCTGTCGTCCCCTTCTCCTCCCGCCTTCAATCTTTCCCAGCATCAGGGTCTTTTCCAGTGAGTCAGTTCCTTGCATGAGGTGGCCAAAGTATTGGAGTTTCAGCTTTAGCATCAGTCCTTCCAATGAATATTCAGGACTGATTTCCTTTTGGATGGACTGGTTGGACCTCCCTGCAGTCCAAGGGATTCTCAAGAGTCTTCTCCAACACCACAGTTCAAAAGCATCAATTCTTCGGCACTTTCTTTATAGTCCAGCTCTCACATTCATACATGACTACTGGAAAACCATAGCTTTGACTAGACGGACCTGTGTTCACAAAGTAATGTCTCTGCTTTTTAATATGCTGTCTAGGTTGATCATAGCTTTTCTTCCAAGGAGCAAGTGTCTTTTAATTTCATGCCTGCAGCCACCACCTGTAGTGATTTTGGAGACCAAAAAAATAAAGCCTGTCACTGTTTCCATTGTTTCCCCACCTATTTGCCATGAAGTGATGGGACCGGATGCCATGATTTTAGTTTTCTGAATGCTGAGTTTTAAGCCAACCTTTTCACTCTTCTCTTTCACTTTCATTAAGACGATCTTTAGTTCTCTGCTTTCTGCCATGAGGGTGGTGTCATCTGCATATCTGAGGTTATTGATATTTCTCCCGGCAATCTTGATTCCAGCCTGTGCTTCATCCAGCCCGGCATTTTGCATGATGTCCTCTGCATATAAGGTAAGTAAGCAGGGTGGCAATACGCAGCCTTGACGCGCTCCTTTCCTGATCTGGAACCCGTCTGTTGTTCCACGTCCAGCTCTCACTGCTGCTTCTTGACCTGCATACGGGTTTCTCAGGAGGCAGGCCAGGTGGGCAGGTACTCCCATCTCTTTAAGAGTTCTCCGCAGTTTGTTGTGCTCCACACAGGTAAAGGCTTTGGCGTAATCAATAGAGCAGAAATAGATGTTTTTCTGGAACTCTCTTGCTTTTTCTATGATCTAACGGATGTTGGCAATTTGATCTCTGTCTTTTCTAAATCCAGCTTGAACATCTGGAAGTTCATGGTTCACGTACTCTTGGAAGACTGGCTTGAAGAATTTTAAGCATTACTTTGCTAGTGTATGAGATGAGTGCAATTGTGCAGCACTTTGAACATTCTTTGGAAAGCCCTGTAGTAAGTTTTAAATCAGAGTGTTGAGTCCTTCGACTTTGTTCCTACAAAATGTTTTGACTATTTTAGGTCCTTTACATTTCCATATAAATTAAAAAATCAGTCTGTTGGCTTTTACCAAAAAAACCTGAAAATACTAGAATAACAGACTATGATTAAGGAAAAGACACCAAAATAACAGTGCTTGTTTGAGGCAGAATTTTTTCTTTTTCACTGCCCTCAAATATGTAGAATAGAGCTAATGGGACTTTGCTGGTGGTCCAGCGGTTGAGACTCCACGAGGCCACTGCAGACAGCACTACTGTGTGTTGATCTCTGATCAGTGAGGGCTGCTCTCTGTTGTGGGGCATGGGCTTCTCCTGTTGTGGTGTGTGGACTTCAGTGGTTGTGGAGCACGGGCTAAGTTGCTCCACAGCATGTGGGACCTTCCCAGCTCAGGGACTGAACCCATGTCCCCTGCAATGGCAGGCAGATTGTTATCTACCTCACCACCAGGGAAGTAAAACTTTAATCAAAAGTAAATATCTTGACAAGACTCAATTCTTATTTTCTTTTATTGTTAGTGGTCTTATTTTTTGGGGGGGGAGAGGGGGGTTTAGCACTGTTTTTCAAAGCAGAAGACTGGACACAGCCCAACGGCCATAAGTAGAGGCTTAAGAGTGCTTCCCAGGTGGCACTAGTGGTAAAGAACCTGCCTGCCAATGCCAGGAGACATTAAGAAAATGAGGTTCGATCCCTGGCGTCGAGAAGATCTCCTAGAGGAGGAAATGGCAATCTACTCCACTATTCTTGCCTGGAGAATCCCATGGACAGAGGAGCCTTGTGGACTATGGTCCACATGGTCACAAAGAGACCAGACTGAAGTGACTTAGCACAGCACGCAGTGGCTTGAGGATAAGCTATGAAGAGAAAAGAACAGGATGCGGGAGAGTGTGCACAAAGAAAACAAGAATGGAGTTTGCACTTGTGTGTGAGCATGCGAAGACGCCAAGCATGGTGGTCACTCATAATGGGCACACGCAGGGGAGGAATGGACAGGGGAGGAAGCAGGAAGTGGGTTTCACTGCAACCTCGTATTGCCTGGGTGTTAAACCATGTGAACAAACTGCCCATATAAAGAAGCGCGTTAGAATTACTTTGGAAATATGAACATCGATAACATATTCAGGAATAATAAACAAGTAGTGATAACATACCTGAATAGTTTGTAAAGGATTTTAGGTCCTCCAGACTTATGGGAACTTGTGCACCAGAAATCAACACCTAAAAAAAAAGTTCACGATATAAAACTTGAGGTGAATTTTAAGAAAGATTTTCATGTCAGGAAAAAACTGTGTCCCCAAGCACAAGAAGTGGACCTGGATCTCCTGCTGGTCGAACATCCGCAGCCACTCCAGGCTCACCACGTTGGCCAGGCCCTGCCGGAACGCCAGGCAGTGAGGGCGGATCTGCCGGTTCAGCCGGTAGTCAGCTACCAGGTGGATGTATGCAATGCGATTGGCACTGGTCACTGGGATGTCCTTCCCACCAGATTTCAGTTCAACGACCTGTGGATTTAAAACAAGAGTTGGAAAAAAAACCCAACAAAACCAAGAGTTGGAAATGTCTCTGAGTACGGCCACAGGGCAAAACAAGAGCAAGAGACACTTACTTCAAGGGAACCTGACTGTGTTGCTCCACACACGGACATCTTAGTGAAAGGTGTGCAACTAGCACACACGACTCACAGACAGGAAGATTCCCGTGACGGGCTCTCCAGAGCTCGGCACCCTACTCTGCACCCAACTCACTGACCAGCCCTGCTTTCTGCAAGGTCCTGAGGGGCGATGTTACAGTGCAGTCACGGCATCTCATTACAAAAGAAATTAGAGATCACAAAGGGCAAAGATATGAACCGAATGATCAGCAAGGATCAGAAGTGCTTCACTGTGGAGAAAAGGCAATGTTAAGGAATTAATGCCATAGAGACGGGGGACTCGTGTGTGCACAGGCAGCATACATCCCCTCTGGATTTCTATGACTACTGTTCAGTCCAGTTCAGTCGCTCAGTCGTGTCCAACTTTTTGCGACCCCATGAACAGCAGCACGCCAGGCCTCTCTGTCCATCACCAACTTTCGGAGTTCACCCAAACCCATGCCCATTGAGTCAGTGATGCCATCCAACCATCTCATCCTCTGTCGCCCCTTTCTCCTCCTGCCCTCAATCTTTCCCAGCATCAAGGTCTTTTCAAATGAGTCAGCTCTTCACATCAGGTGGCTGTACAGTACTGTAGATATGATACAGAGGGCAGTGGTCATCATCAGGCACAACTGGTTAGTCCATTTCTGATGCACCTGCAGGCATTTGGCAGAACTTCTGCATCGCTGCACAGGGACACACACTCTGGGTCGAGTGCAGGGTCAGGGCTCCGCAGAGCGTCCCTGGGGTACAGTGGGGAGGAGGAGCCGGACTCGGGCGCCCTGCCCCACTTCAGTACATGCCCCCGAGGAGTCCCTCGGTCCCCAAAGCCCGCTGTCGTCATTAAGGTGGTGCCGTGTCCATCTTGGGGCTGCGATTATGTGAACCCACACAAGCAAAGCTGTCTGACGAAATTCCACAGACAACTACAGACACGTGCGCCTGACTTCCAACGGTAGACTTGTAGAACCCGGGTCTGCGGGTGCTCACTCTCGGGGACGAGGACGAGGCAGTCTCCGCCAAGGATAAAGAAACACAGGCACACCTGAAACCCTGAACACTGCCAGGGCGTGGACAGGGCACAGGGGCGGCTGCTAGCAGTGGTACTGAGCAGGGCTCAGACGCTGAGCAGGGGGCGCCTGGGGTAAGAGCAGAGGAGCGCTCGACACCTTCCCACACCACGGTTTCCTTCTCTGCCTTGGGCCTCTGGGGCGCCGTTGTATTCCAGGGGCAGCCCAAACATGCCTGCTCCCTCTGAGGGACGGCATTTCACATTTTTTTTTAAATTGTCATTTTACAGAAATGGTACTTTAGAACCCGCTGAAAGCTCTACCTAAATGGTCCTGTGGGAAGGTTACACAGCCACGTGTGGTGAAAGCCGCCCGCAGGGTCTGACAACACCTCACTGCTCCAGATTCCCGCTCTCAGCGCCGGAAGTGCGAGGTCTGACAAGGCGCCGGGTGGGGGTGGGGGGGGCCACCTCTCACAGCCCGCTGTCACTCGAGCCGTGGCGCTGGCTGCTCTGGGTCACAGCTGAGACAGCCTGGATCACAGGCAGGCAGGTACTAAAGGGGGTGGTGCCCGTGGTCTGGAACACAGAGGCCCCCCAGCCCCGTTACCAGCAGCATTTCCGACAACTTTAAAGTGGTGACTCTGGTGGTTCAAACTTGCCTTTCACGCTGCACCTGAAAGGCATCATGTCACAGCTCTCCTTGGGAGCTCCGTTCTGAGGAGCACCTGCAGCCTGGAATGTCTGCACGCTGCTTCCTTCAGGACGCGCAGGGGCCGTCACCGTCGCGCACACACAGCCGCCGTCACGCAATGCAGGGGCAGTCACGCATGCACAGGGGCCACCGTGTGCGCATCGTCGCCATCGTGTAGGCGCAGGCGCTTGCCCCACCCTCCTGGCACCCCGTCCCTGCGGGAAGAGCTAGGGGCAACGACTCGCCCAAGGGCACACAGCAAAGCAGCAAAACCCGGGCTTTAACCAAGGTCTCGTGACTCAAGTTCGATGCTTTTCCACAGAACAGATGATGATTTATGGATCCATCTTAAACCCTGAGCATTCTCCTCAAGGGAGATATGTGTATAAATCAGTGATGTGAAATTTCATGTTCGTTTTTAAGTAGGCTAACAAGCAGCCATATTGATTAAAGAAAAAAAAAATGAGCGCAACATCATTATTCTAAAAGGGAAGATTCATTAACATAAGCTGCTAACATAATGAAGTATTTGCATACCACCAATCTTTAAATCACGACATTTTATAAACCTAAACCTCTATCAGAGAACTAGGTTTTTATATATGTTTCTACAGAAATCCATATGATCTCTCCCCAAATTAGGTACTTTACCAGTGACTCTAATTTTTCCAATTAGACTCTTTAGTATAATTATTCTTTTGCATTATCATCTATAATCTCTACTCAGTGGGAATTTCTATGAATAATTGGAACATCTTCACACTTTCACTTTTAACAGATTACAGTATTATCAGTGGCACTTTAATGGAACACTTACATATGTGACATTCCACCATTACCATCTATTTTAGAAGGGAAATGGGAAACACCCCATTAGCAAAGGCCTCAGACAGGTCCTTAATACAGCCCAGGGCCCAGAGCTTTTGTGCCCAAGACATCCACTAGGTGGGGCCAGGGGGCAGCAACACTGCACGCTGACATTTCCTTCCGATGGTGATCAACCCTGTCTTCAGAAACCTCTCACTTTGCAGTGCTGAGATTTCAGCTCCATGAGAGGGAAGAAGATAAGCAACCAAAGGACACCCGGCTCTGAGCCCTCACCCCGCGTCTCACAGCATCCCTGCAGCTCGCAGAGCCGCCTGGACCTCAGCAGTCTGGAGGAAGCATTACCTCCTTGTTACCGGTTAGGATTCAGTCCCACCTATTTCTGAAACAGAGAACTTTACAGATGAAGAGAGATGGAAAAATCAAAAACCCACAAAGATGGTCATTTAAAAAATATCAAGAAGGTTTAGACAGGAGGATGTATGAATCTTTGTGTATGCTTTTTGCTTTGCTTTTTAGAAGACATCATGATGGTGCATAAGCTACAGAACACTTCTGAGCCCAGGGAGGAGGAAATAACAAGACACAAAACCGCTCCCATTCTCCTGAGGGGCTCCTGGTACCCCACACAGCACTGTGTACTGTGCCTAACACCCCAGAGACAGCACTGCACACCTGCTATGAGGGCTATAGTTTAAGAAACAGAGGGAAAGGCGGCAGAAAATAGCAAGTGTAGAAGAGCATGTGGAAAACTCAGAATCTTCGTGTGACCCAACGATTCCACTTTTAGGTACGCACCCAAAATACCTGAAAACAGGACCCTCAAAGATACTTATGCAGCAATGGCCGTGGCCTCCATGTTCCCGACAGTTACAGCGGTCGCGTCCATCAACAGATGGATAAACAAACATAACACGGCCAACAACGGCAGACTCATCAGCTTGAGAAGAACGAACTCTGACACCTGCTGTACATCACTGTGACCCTGGAAGGCACGATGCTCAGTGAGGTAAACCACTCACTTAAGGACAAGCACTGTCTGACTCCACTCACAGGAGGGGCCTGAGGCTGTCAGTCCTAGAGACAGAAAGCAGAAAGGTGGGAGCTGGTGGATGGTAGTTTAGTATCAGAATGTCCCACCCAGTGCACCCCTTCTCCAACTCAAAGAAAATCTTAGTTCCAGACACTGATCTACAGAATGTAATTTGAAAGATGAACATTACGGTTGAACTCCTCTCATCAGAACTTTCATTGCTTAACCAAGTTGTAGTTTCTGTGAATTCTGGAACTGCCTGACCCAGAGATACCTGGGCTCACAGAACCAGAACCTCCACTTCTGCTGACAGCAGACCCAGATGCTTTCTCATCTTTCCCTTTCCTGAAAGTGAAAGTGTCAGCCGCTCAGTCATGTCCGGCTCTTTGGGGCCCCACAGACTGTAGCCCACCAGCCTCTTCCCTCCGTAGGATTCTCCAGGCAAGTATACTGGAATGGCTTGCCACTTCATTCTCCAGGGGATCTTCCTGACCTAGGGATTGAACCCAGGTCTCGCGCACTGCAGATGGATTCTTTACCATCTGAGCCACAGGGTAACCCTCTTCTAGTAGCTCTGAGACACACCTGTTAGGCTCTGGCCCTAACAGGTGCAGGCTCAGTGTTCCTGAAGCCCGAGGCCTCGAAAGGTTCTCCAGAGCATCTCTACCTACTCTCCTCACGACTGCCAAACTCCAGCCTCACCCAGATCTGTTCACTGACCTGGTGACCCCTTACCACCCGTCATGGGCCCCCTTCAGGCAGCTCTCCAGGAGCACCCCTTCTGAGCTTCTATTGCGCTAAGGGCACAGGTCTCACAACACGGACCGCACCTGCCTCTTGTGAGGATGAGTGTGCTCTTACTAACACACACCTCCTCTGCTGGGCTCAAGGCCAGTGCACAGTCACCAGTATCTCCTGAGTGACGGAGGAAGGGAGAGCAGCGTGGAGGTAAGCGAGGAACGAGAGAAAGAACATCCAAACAGGCTCAGTGTGCGTGTTCGCCAAAATCAACAGTCAGCGCTGTGCCCCGGGGGTCAGGCACTGTGGGGGTGAGCTTACATGCAGTGCCGCCTGGACTGAACACTAGGACCTATTTAATATGCAGTTATTTTTAAGCTGGCAAAGCTGATCACTTTTGAAAACCTGGACTAGAAATCAAGTAATAACAAAAAGTTAGAGAAGCAATTATGAAGTCTAAAGCAAACACTATTTTCACAGCTAAAATCCAACCACGAGTTGCAAAAAAGACTATCAGTCTAATCTATCTGCGTAAGGACAACAGGAAAGATGCAGTTTCCCTGCAAAAGAGATGCGTTTGTCTGGAATCAAGTGTGAATGAGAAAAACACAGCTGGTTACTTTTCAAGAGTTAGAATGCTTTTAATCTGACTGAAAATATATTACAAGTATATACATATTAAGATAATTTTAGAATTCCAAATAGACACCAGGTCACAATTACTCTTAAACATTTGATTTTTATTCTGTCATTTCTCCTGGTATGTTATTGCATAGTTAAATTCATCAGAATCCATCCTCATCAGAATGTTGACTGAAACGATAATGTAGTTACGTTTTATGTACACAGTTTGCTTCACCTCTCACTAAATTAAGTGTTAATATTAAATGGAAGAATGCAGAAAACATTTCTGAAAATGAGAATACTGGTGATGGAGTATAACAAATAGGAAAAGAGAAAGTGATACTGAGAAAATGCTAAATGAGATTATTTTAATCAGGGAAGAAAAAATTATGCTTTATGCTACGGTTAGTCGAATTTGCTCTGTAGTCTTAAATTTGAAGTGAATTAACGCTTCTCCTCCAGAGTCACTTGTTATCTTCCTTATTCTCTCCAGAATTAACTGCATATTGCACAGGGAAACAAGAGGCATTTAAAAACAACTGGAAACAAAGTGATCCAATGAGGATTATCGTACAAGCTGGTTACTTCAAAAATCCAACAAGATGTTAACAAACAATCTGATTTGCCTGTATGCACTTTGAGAAGTTCTGCAAATCACGGGAACATCTAGCACCTGCTCTAGTAGATGGAACGGCATGATGGGCCCCTCTGTCCCGCCCCCACCTTCTGCAAGCATCTCCACGCGGCCAACCTAGGCCCCCTGTGCCTATACCCACTGGCCCTGTTCTCACAGGACTAGAATAGTTCAGTATGTATGTAGTGCATGAATGTACATGGCAGTATTATTCATAAGAGCCAAAAAAGTGGAAATAACTTAGACGTCCATCAGCTGGTAAAGAAAATGTGGTCTATCCATACACCATTTCTGGACGTTACTAGGCCGAAAAAGGGAGGGAAGTAGCAGCACTTGTAGCCCCCAGTAAATGAAGTGCCACAGGCGACATGCCCTGAGATTACAGGTGTGAAAACTGTCCAGAGGACAGGGCCCAGGGACGGGAGGAGCAGAGTGTGGCAGAAGCAGGGGCAGGTGTGACCCGCTAACGGGCACACAGTCTCCTCTGTATGGCCAATGTGTCCTAAAATTTGGATGTTGGGGCTGGTTGCACTAACCCTCATGCACATGGTACAGGGTGGAATTTATGGTACCTAGATTATACCTCCATAAAGCAGCTATTCCAAAACTTAGTTTGAATCTCTAGTATATTTCTTTTTAAGGATAAAAATAGCGAGAGCACCCAGATGGACTGGTTCAGCAGCTGAGGGCCACTCTGCAGGGCGAGGAGCCAAGAAGCACCACGGAGCCCCAGGCTCCAGAAACGAGGCAGAAAGGCAGGGTGCCTTGCAGCCTCACGCAGAACAGGGAGGTGAGGCGGCACTCGGCCAGCTCCCTGAGCCCTGGCTCTCTGTCCTGCGATTCTCTAACTGAAATGTGCACAAGCTCCCACAGCATGAAGCCCGCGTGTGCATGCAGAAGGGCACGCCCAGGTGTGACGGCTCCACCTGCCTGTGCCTCGCCGAGGCGGGCGGGTGCGGGAGCCCCAGCCCCAGCTGCCTGCGCCCCGCCGAGGTCGCGCCAGCGTGCGCACGGAGGAGGACACGGGCGGGTGCGCGAGCCCCAGCCCCACCTGCCTGCGTCTCTCCGAGGTCGCGCCAGCGTGCGCACGCAGGAGGACACGGGCGGGTGCAGGAGCCCCAGCCCCAGCTGCCTGCGCCCCGCCGAGGTCGCGCCAGCGTGCGCACGGAGGAGGACACGGGCGGGTGCGTGAGCCCCAGCCCCACCTGCCTGCGTCTCTCCGAGGTCGCGCCAGCGTGCGCACGCAGGAGGACACGGGCGGGTGCAGGAGCCCCAGCCCCAGCTGCCTGCGCCCCGCCGAGGTTGCGCCAGCGTGCGCACGCAGCAGGACACGGGCGGGTGCGGGAGCCCCAGCTCCACTTGCCTGCGCCTCGCCGAGGTCGTTGTTCACCACCGTGAAGTTCAGCCCCAGCTCCTCCACGTCGCCCTCGTAGCTCTTGAGGAAAAGCAGGTTTCTGTACACCTCGGGGTCTAAGGACGCCAGGTGGTGGATGTCCACATCCGCGCTGGTCCCCAGCAGCTTGGACAGGAAGAAGCCGGCGAAGGGCAGCTCCACCAGCATGTTCTCATAGAGAGCCTTTGAACGAAGCAGGGACCACTGGTTAGCATTTCATAGGGCCGCCTCTCATCCTTCCTACAAGTAAGAGACCGTGTTTTCAGCCTGGTCCCCACAGACCCCTGAGACAGCAGACCCCTCTGCCCACGCGGACGAGGATGACAAGCTTCACCATGTGCCAGCCCACGGTGCAGGCATTCATACACACAGCACGCAGAGAGCCCTACACGGGACGGCGGAGGACCTGAGGGCCCAAGTGTGGCGGCGGCCTTTAAGGGCCACCTCCTCACGTGACAAGACCCTGCCAAGCGTGTCTGTGAAGCGCTCTGCAGGTGGATCAGTCTCCCGGGGCTGCTGTAATAAGCGCACCGACCAGTGGCTTCAAACAACAGTCTGGAAAGGTCTGAACCCAGGTGTCAGCAGCAGGTCACGCTCTCTGGGAAGGTCCTGCCAGCTGCGGGGCTGCCGGCTCCCCAGCCTCTGCGGGCTGCTCCCCCTCAATCTGCTCTGTGCCTCCACCCTGCCCTCCTGCCTCTGATGCAGACGCCAGTCACTGGATCCTGGGACTCACTCCACCCAGGATGACCTCCGCTGAGCTTGCTTACATATGCAAAGATGTCTTTCCAAATAAGGTCACACTCACAGGGACAGGGCTTCCCTGGTGGCTCAGCAGTAAAGAATCTGCCTGCGATGCAGGAGACGCGGGTTCAATCCCTGCGCTGGGAAGATCCCCGGGAGAAGGTAACAGGTGCCCACTCCAGTATTCTTACCAGAATTCCACGGACAGAGAAGCCAGGCGGGCTACAGTCCACGGGGTCACAGAGAGTGACTAAGCGACTATCACTTTCACTTTCTCTCACAGGTACAGGACAATAGGACTCAGAGCGCATCTTCCTGGGGTCGCAGTTCTGCCCACAGTGGCAGGCGGGCCGGCGCCTGGGTGGCCGCCCCTCCCCTCTGGGTGGAGCCAAACAGCGAGGGCGTGGGCACTATGTGCCAGAGTCGGGTTTCGTTAATTTTCGATGTCAAGGAAGATGATTCTTCTTTAGATTTTTTTTTCAACCATCAAACGGGGAGAAGGCAGCATTCTTAGCTCAGTGACCACAGCCGCTCTTCCAGCAGAGAGGTCGCCTGCCTGGCCACACCCACGCCCGCCAAATGCTAAGCCCAAGGCTCAAGAGATGGACGTGTGACGTCATTTCCGCCCTGCCCGCCACCCCCACAACAGCAGCCTTGCGCCACAGCCCACGCGGGAGGCGCCCTTTGGTGCGCACGCGGCCAGCACTGCTGCACCCCTGGACAACCGTCTCACACGCAGGGCAGTCTACAATCATGACCCTTAAATGCACCAACCTTACACACTCATGTTAGGCTCAGATACCCTCTGAAACCCACGTTAACTCTCACCCATTGATGTGATTGGAGCAGACAACAAAACAGCCATGGAATGTCCCCCAGAAGAGAAAGTCCTCCTGGAGGCGACCGTCCAGAGGGCATTGCATGGGCTCCCGGGCACCACCTCCCCGCAGGTGGTCACTGCACTTGGAGTTCAGGCTCACCCGCTCCCCTCCAGCTATGTCCCTGCACTTCTCTTTCTGATTTGAAGACTGATGATTACTCAATTAGTTCTGAAAAGAAGGCAAAAAAGGCTTTCTTAATGAGAGAATGAGTAATAAAATGGCAACTGGCACTTAGGTCCTCTCCTGATGTAAAGAAGGTCTGTTTTGAGAAGCCAGGCTTTGCCTCAAGTTAAGAATGGCCAATACTATTAACCTGGCCCACTTAGGAACCCCATTACTTCTAATGAATGATGCCGTCAAAGCTAAGGAGCATTCTGCAGAGATGACAAGACTGATCCCAGGTGTCGAGAAAAGCCTCATTTGTATGGTGGTCTGTGAGTAAACTCAGAGAGTAAATCATTGAGTGTGTTGAGAATGGAAGGTCATTGTTTGCCATTCCTGCATTAGTAACAATAAACTTGTGAAGTCCACTCAATCCATCAGAGCTACCTGAATTTTAAACAGAAACTCCACTGTGACTCATAAAATGTAAATGCACAGGTATAATTTTTTACACGAGGCAGGTTTAAACCTTTAGAGCATTTAATATACAAGCACTAATAAATGATAGCACTAAAAACTGTGACTGCATCAGCTAAATGGATTATAAATTAAATTTCCATAATGTATGCAACTGAGATACAAATGTAAGCATAAATCAAGGTATTTCCTAAACACAGGTTAATTATACAACTTCAAAAACTGCCAATTTTTTATGCAAAATAATCCACTTAGCATTTTTCGTATTGGCCTCAATCCTCGGTCCACTGCACACTTGTTCCTAGAAGCGTATCAATAACCGCTTGTCATGAAAACATAGCAATAGGTATATGGAGAAAACCTGTACCGTATTTTTCAACTGTCTGTCTTTTATGAGTGTTTATAGCTAGAAATTGTGCCAAAATGATCTGAAATAAAAAGGATTAATTATGGTAGAAGCCTTTTAATATAAGTGAGTGCAGTCACCATGCAATTAATGCAAACTGTGGCCCTGCCTGGACGGGCGGTGTGAGCTGCATCTCAGGCTGGTTCTGTTTGCTGCCAAATAACTTCAGTAATTTACTACATTAAGAATCAATAAAAAAAATAATGCTTTTCAAATGCATCTCTATCAATCTTCAGGTAGTTCTAAAGTGAACATTTATAACTTAATCTAAAAACTATATCAGAGATGTCCTGTTTCAAGGCCACTCTAATTGAACAAGGAGATAATAATTTTAATTATTTCAGATCAAGCTAACCTTGGAGTCTACAAAATTAAAGCTATGTAAAATAAGGATGTAAGCGGATACTAATATGCTACTTAATTTAGCAGTTGTGTCTCAGAAGAAATAACGGCGAGTTGAAAGCCGTGCTCTCTGACTGGGCTACTGCGGACTCTCAGGATGAGGCTCCTTCAGGGCGGGGGGTGCTCCTGGCCGTGAGCAAGCGCACCGCAAACGCACGGCTGGTGACCAGTCACTGAGCACAGAGAGTGAGTGCCCGCTGTGTGTGGGGACCTCTATTGGCAGGATAGAATTCTGCATTCACAGACTGATTTGCAAAAAACCATTTATTCTCTTTTGAGACATTTCAGGTTGTCAAAATTACACACATGGAGATTCGCTTCAAATCCTAACTGCTTACTCCTTTAGCTTTGTCCACATGGCTGCCTGACGTTCAGTGACGAGGGCGTGTATGTGTTGGGTCTTCCCTGCCCCCTCACCACCCTAGGAGGACGAGGCGTCCCACCAGCCCTGGAAGCCAAGGAGAGACTTACTCAGTCATTGCAACTGGTAATCTGCACCGAGTATTTGACAGCTTTATTTCTGAAAACAGCCCGTTCACTTCTGAAAACCTCTGAGGATGCTGGGTGGGTGGGAGATGAGAGGTCACGCCTCCAAGCCGGTTCTCTCACTGGGCATTGGGAAACCCACCTGGGTGCACAGCCACTGCCCAGCAAGTGCCCACTCCCGGCCGCTCCTCCTGGCTCAGGCTCCTCCGAGGCTGCTATGCCTACCAGGTGATAGAAAAGTCACGTCCCATTTCCACTCACGAGAAGTCAGTACTGGTGTATTCACAGAGCTGTGCAGCCGTCACCCTCCAACTGAGTTTGGAACATTTCACCCACTGCCCCTGCCCCCCACCAGCAGAAACCTTGAGCTCTGGGCTGTCACTTCCCCACCTCCTGCACCTCCAACCCAGAATTCTTGGGAGGCCTCTTCTGTGGCCACACACACCTCTGGGTGAGCCACCCAGACCCGGGGCACCTCTGACGTTGCTCTGCCTGAGTTCCTGCTGCCTGTGGCCACCTACACCACCAGAGGCCAGGAGGCCTGCTGACCTCGTCTCTCTGACCCCGGCGGTGGAGCCAGGAGGCCCTGCCTGGTCTGTCTCACTCACAGAGGAGCTCAGCAGCCCCCTGCCGCCTCCCAGAGAAGTTACCCCGATGTGAGGAACAGCAGCAGCAATACACATCTTCACCTGGCTCGCTTTTCACAATGACTATTCATTTATCTTTAAAATGTATTTATTTGGCTGTGCTGGGTCTTTGCTGTGGCACGTGGGGTCTAGTCTCCTGACCAGGGATCGAACCCAAGACGCCTGCATTGGGAACAGGGAGTCTTAACACACTGGACCATCAGGGAAGTCCCAAAAGTGACTACTGAAATGTGTAGAAGGATTTAAATGGGCTGATTTTATTTATTTTTTAGATAATTACTGTCCTTATTGCACAAATAAAGACCAAGGAAAGACATGCAGTACACGTGAAGCAGCACCAGCAGAAGTCTGTGTTCCTAATTTTCCCGGCGAGAATCTAGCATGACTTAGAAAAACAGCCCTAGTGTAACACTGACCCATGTTAAACTAGTGTATGGGAGGGCTTAAAAGTGTGAGGAGTGAGTCCACGCACTGCAACCACTCAGCCTGTGCTCCGGAGCCAGGACACTACTGACGGCCTAGAGCCTGTCCACAACCAGAGAAGCCACTGCAGGGAGAAGCCCACATACCGCAGCCGGAGGGCAGCCCCCCGCCCGTCCCAACTGGGGAAGTCCTTGCAGACCAGCACAGCCAAAAGAAGTATTTTTTTTTTAAATAAAGAAAAATTTTTAAAAATGTGACAAGGGACATCTCAAATGGAAAGCAAGATCTACTTATGCAGGGGCAGAAAGAATTCTGGTGAATATCTCAGAACAGCTAAAACTTCAATAATACTTTTAGGTACTGAAATCAACTGAATTCTGGCATACACTGGCCATTTTTACTGTACAATAAGACCATTTTAACTTCATGTTTAATTTCGAAGAAACAAACTTACATAGAAAACTATGACCTTAACTAGGAAGAGAGATAATCTCCAGATTTGGGAACGCGTTGCTTTTAATGGAAAAGAATATAAATTGTGAGTCGAATGCTATAATAGCAGTACAGTTCTCTGAAGGGATAAGGGTCAAATAAGTAATCACTTTTAAATTATAAGTT